GCGCATGTATTTATACATGCGCCTGTTATTTACATGTTTACATCTGATCGCTATTCTACACTACTCTAGAAATTTCCGTCGCCTACCTAATTTCCCACCGTCGATCTCATAACATACTAATTACGTGACGCGATGGCGTGTCACGTTACTGCGCCTACTTTTTCACCCACGACAATATGCAAAAAAGTCCGAAACGAGAGAATAATCTAACAAATAACAAGTGTAAGAAAATAAAGTAAAAAAAATGCTAGAAACCAAAACCTAAAAATTCCACCGTGAATTTTTGCTTATTTTTGCTTATTTTTATGTGGAAAGTTGGATTAGTAGCAAACTTACTTGTCATAATAAAGAGAAGATATGTACTATGGTGATGCATTAAATGATTATTACGTATCTCAAAAGACACAATATTAAAAATAAGAATGGCATAATACAGAATGTCCAAACTTAATTTATATGATGATTCCAAGACAGGTGGTTAGAAATGAAATGGTTTAAGTAAAGTATATTATATATTCTGAAACTCTAATATGTAAATACATGGATTATTTAATCTTATTAATATACTTGTATCTTTGAAGAGAGCTGATTAATAAAGCCTTCATTGTTACACAACCATTATGCACAAATATTTTATAAAAGTTATTGTCGTCAAACAAAATAACTATGCATTCGTTTAAACCCTAAATACTCTGTGAGGCGCATCTTGAATAATGTTACAGTAGCCTAGTGCTTAAATAAAATAGAACGAGTATTTAATTTAATCATTACTTAATATTCACTATTATTTTTTTTACGAATCTTGAATTTGAACACACGTATTATTTATTAAAGAATATTCAAATAATTAAATCAATTCATTCGTATCCCATGGATTGATTATATTGCTGAGATAAAGTAATATTGCTAATTAAGCTATCAGCCATGCTTAAAGAAAAAAAAACATCAAAGTCTGCTTAAGGCAAGGTAGGCTTATAAGGCGATGGATTTTTCGAAGTAGTATATCTACAGTATACCAGGAGAAAAAAGTTTAAGCATTAAAATCAACTAAGCAATAATCTGCATCTACTGTAGATAAATCATACGCACCCTAAAGTTTCTAAAATCTTGGTGATGTAGGGACCTATTACTCCACCATATTTTTTATCAAGATCATCAAAGCGGATACCAGGTTGAGATACGTATACCATTAAAAAATCAGAAGTATTTGTATAATATGTGTCCACGTGACTAATACTCGAGCCCGAAGAAAATGGATTTAATTTTGTCTCAAGAACAACCAAAGAAGAATCATGTGTCACAAAATCCATCGTATACGGGGTTATAGCCTTATTCGATAAATCTTTAGCTATTTTATATTCAGGAGAACCAATGAATGCTTTCTCAAATGCACTAAATGACGCATATTTCGTTCCTATTGGCGCAAAATTGGTTATATTTTGCGCCAGGACTGTCATCGCTACTTTGGAACTTCCTAGATTCAAAACCATGTATCTATCAAAGGCCCTTTCGGTGAAACCAGTATAACTTATCGGTTGGTTTCGATCTTTAATATCTTCAAGAAAATCTGGACCGGGAGTTAATGCAATAAAGTCGGTAAAATACCTAAATAAAGTAAAAGGCAAACTTTATGTTTGTATAAATAAAAATTAAAATAATAAAATCGAAATATGAAATAATTTACTTGTTCCAATTAGAAACAAATCCTAGACCGTGAATAAATTCATGAGTGACAATATATTCAAAGTCGGTTTGATTTATCTGTGCTGTTTTATCTTCTTTAAAGAATAGATCAGCCGTAGAACTAAATAATGCTGTGATATCATATGTATTAAATTCTGGATGTGAAGAAAATTCCATCTGTTTTACTAGAGCTTGAGGGTAAAGTCTGATTATTCCATCTTTATCTTTTAATGGAATTGTCCGAGCGGGTTTCGCTTGCCCTTTAATGAATTGTTAATGTAAAATAATTACTGTAATATGAATATTTTGTGGAATTATTTCTTGGCTTACCAAGAACGAGGGGTCCTAATGCAGTAAAGGTTGCATTTACTCTTACAGGTGTATTAAATTGAATAACTGATGCAATTCTCTGGCCGGCTGATACAAATGCATTCTTCGCTTTTTCGCATAAATTTTTGTCGGTGGATCTACAAGTAAAATCAATCACGAATACTTCGCTGGATGATAAAAACCCGGTCGATTTTTTCGTGATTTCATCATAGTTTTCGTTTTTGACAATATTGCAATTGACTTTCGTGGATTTATAGGAAAATGGATCAAGATAATCATGACATTCGAGAGCAATAATTTGTCTCGAAAGAAATCCGATAATTGAAAACCAAAGTAAATTTAAATTTATTTTATACATCCTTGTTCTTCCTAATTTTTTTTTTTCTTATAATCTTCAAGAGGATGAATTATTGTAAAGAATCTCTTGAAATTTATATACTGAAGCCGTAGCTAAATGGGGAGATACTTCATATTTCCTCCGTTGCGCCTGAAGTAAAGAACATTCGATGTTTGTGTCATATTTTCGCGTAACCAGCGATAAAAAAAAGTAAAAAAAGTGTAAATAAAATTTTGGATTTCGCTTTATGTCGATATAAATTGACATAATAAGCAACGAACTTCCGATTTCGCATTATGTTGGCGTAAAGACACACAAAGTGACCGAAGAAAGAATTCTATTTTTCACGTATGAGCATGATGACTTGGTATTATTCTTTTTGCACTACCATCAAGTATAATATTACATTACTTGTATATATTTTAACTGCTCTAATTGTTTTGGTGTATCATGTAAAATATTTTTTAAAAAAACTCTTGTAGTATGAAAACAATTATCCTTTTGATATTTGTCTCCATATACATGTATAATCGAAAAAAATATTTTTTGTACTTTAGTTACATATGTATAAATAATAGTAGTTTCAAGTATTTTTTCTACTTTTAATAAACTTTTTTTATTCGCAATCTGTCTTTAATTTATCAGAAAACTCTGTGTAGAAAACAAAAATACAAACAATTTGAGTCTCCAATAACTTGGCCGATACCGTACTTGTGTCTATTAAGAAAAATTGTCGATCGTGTTACGCAAAAGAATCTACAATAACAAAAGATGTGTGTAACTGAAACACAATCTATGGTGTAGTTAAATTTAGCATACTGTATCCAGGTTTACGCAATCTTCGAAAATGCTGCGATGATCTTCCCAGCTTCCCGCTGATTGTATCAATACAAAGTGCCCAGATCAAAATCCTCAAATATTTACAAAATTGTGACTCAAGCCCATTTAAACAACAAGCAAATTAACACATATAGTAGTAACAAGTTTAAATTTTCAAATTTTCAAATTTGGGCAACTTATTGATAAGTAGAAATACAATTGTTTAAATATTATACTGTACATAGTTAATGTTAATCATATTATTATTATTTGTTTGGTTGGATTTTGAATAGAAAAAAAAGTCATTTAATAAATGAATAAATAACGTAAATCGGAAAATTGGTACTCTTGAAATTTTAAAAAGAATATTAAATAATTCAATATATTAATTAAAATATATATTGTTTAAGTCTAAAAACTTCAATCCAATTGTTTGAAATATTATTATTAATATTTGAAACAATAACTTTTTTATCAATTAGCCAAATATTGCATAACATATTTTTTTTTGGGGGGGTTATCCCAGTAGATAAACATCATCTCTTTATTTGATTTGTATATATCAAGGTATACATCGT